AGATGCTCAAAACTCAGAGGGAAAGTAGAGGAGAGTGGGGGTAAGTGGTAGAGATCAACCAAAGGACTTGTATGCATGCATATATGCCTAACCAATGGACACAGACAACAGGGGGGTGAAGGCATGAATGTGAGTGGGGTGGGGGGAGGGGGCAATAAGGGGATAAGGACACATATGTGATACCTTAATCAATAAAGAAAGGAAACAAAATGTCTATAAAATGAGAGGTGTGATATAAATACTAAGTAGAATATAATTAAATTGGGCTGTTAAGTCTATAAGTATGAGGCTAACAAATGGAGTCTTTTGATTAATCCAATATAAACAAAACAAAATGCATTATACATTGGCCTCAATGAAAATGTTTTTTTAAAAAATGAATGTACTATATCACTCAAAATACATTTATGAACAGTAAGTGTGACTTTTATAATGTGTACACACATTCAGATAATAGAAATAAAGGACTGAAGTCCAGGAGAATGGGTTTAGACTGGGCTCTATTAACTGTGACAGACAAATCACCTAACAGCTTAGTTTTTGCACCTATTAAGTGATTGCTGGTTTCCCTTAAATTCCTTTCAGATTTAAGATTGCATTACTTTATGATTAGAGACATCTTTATTCAGTCCACTGTGCAAATGGGAAGATCTATTGATGCTAAAAAAAAGGTTTTAGATTTCAGAAGAAATACTTCTCTTTCTACTCTAAAGTGCTTCATTCAGGACAAAGATTTTTACAGAGTGAGTTATGAGAACTCTTTAACGGAAGACAAACTGCATTTATTTAGTCATAATAATAATAGATAAAATGCTAAGATTAAAAAGGGAGGAAATAGAGTATTTCATCTAATAAAGTACATTTTTGAGATATCAAAAATTATTTTTCTTTGAGCGAGAGATTATTACATTTGTTAGTTAGGAAGCGTTGAGGAAGGGAATTAGGTTTTGCTCATTTTTATATTCCTTTTTACATGGAGATCATTCAGAAGGCATCTGCTGAATTGACTTCCATGCTATTCTATGTTGGGTCAATGATGTCAAATCTTAACTCGTTGGCTTCCCTTATTCTGCCTTTTACATCTCATTTGCCTCCATTCTAACTGTGCATGACATTATTGCATTTAAGGTGTGCATATTATGTCCCAATGATAGTGATTCTGGTAGTTGGTAAAACTCATTGAAATAGCCTTAGGGAATCTATAGATAATATTTTTAGTTTATCATTTCAACAGAATAAAATGACAACTGTTTATGTACATAGAGTTAGAACTTCAGATATTTTCAGATTCTAGCATTTGAAGGATACAATTACTATGGTTGAATTTTTAAATTCTAAAAATGATTTGAAATTGGCACACCTGTCTTGATGCAGACTGATTTATAAAAGGTATAATTTTACAATCACACAAAAATTGTTATCCTATATAATAAATAAAACCCTAATATGCAAATTGACCGGACATCCTTCCTTCTGGACAAAGCTGCAGCAGGCAGGGGCCACAGCAGAGGTGGCAGAGGTCCCCAGCCGTGGCGGCGGCAGGCAGGGGCCAGGGCCAAGGCTCTTGCACAAATTTTGTGCATCGGGCTTCTAGTTGTACTATAAAAAGTGTGGTCCTTGGCCAAAAAGAGAGTTGAGCTTAATTGGGAAGGCTAGAAACACTCTGAATAGAAAATTATAATTGTGCTAAATTATCTATTTATTTCATACATAGTATACATTTAACAAAACAGTAAATGTCAGTAAAGTTTTCTAGACTTGAACTTTAGCATGCTCACCCCATAGGATGCTGCATTATGAAGAGGAATTAAGCCACCTTTGTCTTGGGCATTAACATCTGCTCCATGCTCTAGAAGATATTCTGCTACTTCCAGGTTATTGTAGCCGGCTATTAAAGTAAAAAAAGGCAAACATGTCAGTTTAAAGGGAAAAAAATTGTATATAAATAATAAGGATCGAAAAAATACTGAAGTTGTAGTACTTTTTGCTTTAAAAGCTAATACTATTATCACATAATTAAGAGACTTTACAGTAAGAAATTATATAAAATTTTGTCAACCAAAAGCATTTACTAAGTAGTACTCTTTATGCTCAGCATTCATCTCCCAATAATCCGTAGTAGGTACCAGAGAAGGGACAGTGAGACTTAGGCATGCTCATGATGCTGACCTGCCAGGTGCAGAGGGGTTGAGTTTCTACCCTGGGTGTCCCTGCAGTTGATATTCTCTGGGGTGCAGAGTTTTTGCACTCTTGCCAGGCAGCCCTTCTTGGCAGCATCCAACAAGGCAGCATCTCCTCTCAGTAAGTCCTGAATATCCGTGTCTCCTTCTTTAACCAAATCTAAAGGTGTATTTCCATCTCTGTTCTTTTTAGTTGGATCTGCTCCATGCTACAAAGAAAAAACAAATGGGGTTTGTATTTTCTGTTGTATCTTCCTTTAAGTTTGTTTATTTAACTTCACCTTCACTCCTCCAAGGAAAGTTACCTATTCTTCATGCATTTTGAACAACAGAGGAAGTATCCTGTTTTATTTTTCAAATTCCCTACTTAGCAGTTTACTGGATCAACTTTCTAACTACTACTAAACCAAAGCCCTAAGTCTAAGGATGGTGAAATGGCAAAGATACAAGTATCTTTTACTTTTTATCCAATATACTTTCGCAGACTCCAAACTGTCTTTAGAAACACCGTTTCCTTTTAAGAATAGTCTGGATGTTAAATTTTGATCAGATTTCAAGTACACAAAGATATTCAATGAATAGCATGAAAAAGAAGTAAAAAGAGGAGCACACACAGGTAGAAAAAGTACTTAATTCTAAATGCAGAAGAAAATTTGATTTTAAAATATTTTTATTATAAGTCTTAACATCTATCATGAAATGAGGTATAAATATATTAACAATTAATTTGCTTTTAAGAGTTTAATCATATATACTATGAAATAAAGTAAATAAAAGTCAAGAATCTTTATTATGACAGTCTGCTATTGGCCCACTGGAGAAATTTGAAAGATACAAGCTAGATAATGAATTCACAGTGACTTACTAACCAGTGAAAATAGAAATGTGCATCAAATACAGTGTTATTCTCAATACTCATAATAATATATTTGATGCCATAAGAATGGTGGAAGAAGAATTTTTTTATATTTAACCCAGGACAAGTTTTTTTTATAAGCTATATTAAATAACGTTTAATAATGAGGAGTTTAACAATAAAATAGCCAGTAAAAAAAATCAAACGATAAAAAAAACTTGTTTTTCTTTGTACAAATGTTTTCTGATATCAATACTGTAAGTATTAGATAAGCAATGCAAACTAATTCAACTCTTTCCAAAACCAACCTTGATGAGCTGTAATTATCTGAACTTAATCAAATCAGTTCAGAAGACACTTCAGACACTACTCAAAGCTATGTAAGTATCATGATACCACACTTAAACATCCTCCTAAAAAGGAAAGTGGAAGCGTCTCTGTAGCACTTATTGTACATAACAGAATTTACCTTGATGTAATTTTATATACTAACCAAAAATAAATATAATTACTTTACACTTTATAATTTTTAAAATTACGTACTTTTAAAAGGAGCTTGCAGATTTCATACTTTCCTTTAGCTGCTGCTTCATGGAGAGGGGTAAATTTCCATAAGTCCGCCACATTGACAGAAGCCCCATGCCTTACTAAAAGCTCAGCTACCTCATAGTGTCCATATGAACAAGCATTATGAAGGGGCACCAGGCCACTAAACAGAAAAAAATTATTGTTAAGACATATGACAAATCTTTTGAGTTAAAATGATAATTATGAAAATAATAATGAAATTCTTCTATGGCACTGACCATACTACAGACTCGCTTAGAAAATTCTCCTCTGGTCTTGAAGATATATTCATCCATTTCCAAGTGAGGCTTAATAATTTTTAAAATGTCCCTTTCAATATAAGGACTTTTCATAGTTTCTTAGTGAAGGATATAAATTCAGTAATCCTTATCCTTAAAATACATATATCCTTGAAATACACACACACACACACACACAGAAAAAGGTTGCATCACAATACTTTCTTTTTATTTTATTGAGTTAGAGAAAGAGAGAATCAATGTATGTGCCCTGAGTGGGGATGGAACTGGCAACCTTGGTGTATTGGGATGATGCTCTAACCAACTGAGCTAACTGGCCAGGGCCTCCATCACAACACTTTTCATTTAGGTTTCATCCTGGCAATATAAAGCAACACTATAAAGTGATTTTAGGAATAACTACTCAATAATTTGGTTTATCCTCTCTCAAATTTTCTTCCATTTGGGTTTTCCTAATGATAACACTGCAATCTTATAAAATGTACAATGCAATTTAGGTTATTTATTTAGGCAAATTCTACCTTTAGGTTTTGGTTTTTATTTTTATGTTTTCTGTGTAACAGTTTAAATATTTAGGTGCCAAGCAATGAAAACTCAAAATCTTAAGTGACAGAGAAACTTAAGTATTTGTTAAAGAAAATAATGGTGTGAACCATAAACTCCAGTCAGATGAGAAAATCTAGCCACCTTATTATGAGCAAACTTTTCTGAGATGACTCTAAGTTCTGCTGAGAAGGCAGCTGATAGTCTAAAGGGACCAAAAATGTTCCCATAAAAAAGGGTGCATCAAAAGGGTAAGTTTAAGTTGCACTTAAGACATGGAACAAACTAGGTACAAGTGCCTTTTTATTTAGAGATCATGCTTTTTTTTTTCTTTTTATTGTTTTCAGATCAAAATTCTAAGTGCTAAGATGGGCAATATTCACAAATGTTGCTCTCCGTACACTGTAATACTTTGAAAGAGCTAGTGGTACTATTACTGAATACTTACTTATGTCTGATGTGTCCTATAACAGTTAATTGAAGTTTAAGTTGTATGGTTTAATTCTATAGTATTGCATAGAAATGTGCTTACTTATATTTTGAGATGACGTGAAATTAACTCAGAAGAAGCTCATTTCAATTAAAACTTCCTCTTGCATTTCTAAATAGCTTTCATGGTTGCTTTAAAAACTCTGTCTAGCCCTAGTTGGTTTGGCTCAGTGGAAACAGTGTCAGCCTGGGGACTGAAAGGTCCCAGGGTCTATTCCGGTCAAGGACACATGCCCGGGGTTGCGGGATCAATCCCCAGTAGGGAGCATGCAAGAGGCAGCCGATCAATGATTCTCATCATTGATGTTTCTATCTTTCTCTCTCTCCCTCTCCCTTCCTCTCTGAAATTAATAAAAATATATTTTAAAAAATAACACAACTCTGTCTAGATAAACAGAAATAATTTAGCAAACTAATATAAAAATATAGATGTGAATTAGTAAAAAAATAAATGTTTCTATTTTAATACTGATGACTTTGGGATGGATGGCTTCTTTTTGGAAGAGATTATACATTTTTTATGGCAAAACACGGGTTAAATAATAAATTACAAACTATATAAACACATTCATACTATATATAGGCATTAAAAGGATGAGATAAACTATTAAATACTGATATGGAAAGATATTCAAGATATACTACTAGATGAAAAAAGGAAATTGCAAAGCAAATTGTCTGGAATGACATTATTTATGTTAGAAACAACCACAACCCCCACAGCAGCATACACACTAGTACATGCATTTAAAAAATTGGGAGGATTACAACAAAATTTTAATGTTGTAATTAATCTCTAAGAGGTGAATTTTCACTTTCTATACTATACATTTCTATGTTTTAGTTTGTACTTTAAACTTTAGAACACTTGCATTGCTTTCTTTAAACAGGAAAAACAATCAAAGACCTAAAAAATATAAAATACTTTTTTTAAGTCTCAAAAGAATGAATCCCAAACAGTTGGATTCTAACACATACCCTTTGTCTTTGGCATGGACGTCGGCACCGTGGTGTAGAAGGTACTCCACAACAGACACACGATTATAGCCTGCCGCGAAGTGTAAGGGTGTAGAATGCCGGCCCTCTAAATCTCGGCAATTCACATTTTGAGGGCTGCAAAGTTGCTTTTATTGCACATACACACAGACAAACATAAGAGGAACATTAACATTTAGTCACAGACTTTGCTCCAAAATACGACAGGTATCTGGATAACTTGTAATTTTCTAATATTTATTTCCAAAGATTAGATAATAGAAGTGATGTTTAAAAATCAGTACTATGTCTAAAAATATTCTTACTATTTACAGAGCAATTGATTCTCACAAAATCCTAATAAAAAGGAAAAACCCATAATAAAGCAAGCATTTGCAAGGCAACTGATGCCTTACTTTTTCATCTTTTAAGGCGTTTGCTGCCCAAGACTGCTTGTCACAGCATTTTTGCATGCTCTTAGCCATTCTTCTCTCAAATAGGAGCAACCCCACTTGACCGCAGAGTTACCCAGAGTTCTTGTCTCCTCTGATGGGGCAAGAAAAAAGGCTCTGGAAAAACTATTAATCCTGCTTGGACCACACACTTGGCCCTTTGATCCAAAAATAGAGTTTGCTTATTAATAAGTGACAAAGTTTAGTTTGAAAAAAATAATCTGGTATGGCTGCCAATAACAATATTGCAATTGGCCTTTCTTAAAAAACAAAACAAAAATATAATAAAACCAACAAAGCCATGCAGTCCACAGTGCTTTACTTGATCTTTGGGGGATGTTTGTCTAACTCTACAAGTCAAACTGATTGTAATCATATTCTAATTTTTGGTTTTACTTCCACCTCTTTCAGCTATGCCCTCCAAATCTCTCCTGTACCTCCTTTTCTCCTTTTGAATGTTACCATTTCAGTATCAACGCCACTCTCCTTGATTACAAGCAGTAGAAGCAAAGTAAGGGCTGACAGGCTGCATCACCAGTGGTGACAGACGAAATACAATGATATTGGAACAATCATTTACAATTTGTAAAAAATGTCATATTCTTTCAGTAAATTGCTATCTGTGAGGTTGATCATTATCTCCATTTTATAAATAAACCAAGGCTCAGTGAGGTTTAGTGAAATCTTTTTTCATGGGGTTGGTAAGGAGTAGTGAAGACTCAGACCCTGTTCTCCTGATCTTTTTGGTGCATGGCTGGTTAAAAATGAAGAACCTGCTTCTAGTGATATACTCAGTAGGGGCTTTCACACTGGTAGGGTGAAAACAGGACTTTTCAGACGGTACAATTTTTACATGACAGAAACACGTCTGGGCAGTATTAGGGAGAGCCTACAATCGCATCGACTCTTTGTGGAAAAGCACCAGACTCTAACTTCTGAAGAACATTATCATCTGATCAGCTCAAACATCTTATCTTTTCATGACAAGTGAGTCTGTGGCTACATTAACACATAAATTAGAGAATAAAAATATACAATTAAATAAAAACAAATAAATTAATACATAAACTAAAAAGAAAGGCTGCAAAAATTGCTAGTAAACACCAGTGGTGTCTTACATGACTGAAGCACTTACTCTTCTGGTTCTTATTTTTTAATTTAACTTTTTTTTCTCCCCAGAGAAGACTGGCAAAATCAGAATGAGGGAGGAAATGAAGAAACACAACTCATTTTACCAGGTTATAAAAATAAAACCCCATTCTGCTTATTAAATACTTGGTTTTCGATATTTGGAATTTTTTTAATCTCTAGTCTGTTTTACTTTCTTTTTGAATGACAAAGCAATTTCACATCCTTTCTAGCTGCTTTATATAATGTCAAATATGTTACTCAGCAAACAGCTTTTCTTCTAATATCTAATTTCTAATACTTTCTAAAACCTCTAGGGTAAGAAATTTATGCAGCCTAATTCTCACTTAATTTGTGCTTTTTCTTCCACCATTTTGATTCCATTCAAAAAAACATAGTTGGTCCTTTATTGTGAATAGACTGTTTAGGAAACCGGAAAGGTGCAGTATATTTACACACAAAAGATAATGGAATTTTGTTAATTTATTACATTAAAAAAGTTTTAATTTCATTATAATGGGTACATCTAGCAATTCTAGTGCTGAGATTACCATGCTGTGACACAGAAAAGGAGTCCTAATCATTTTTTATATTTAAACACTTTCCTTTATTAGGATACACTTCAAATTACAGAGTATTTTTAAGAAAAAAAGAAAAACACACTTGAAATTTTCTCTCCAGTGGCTATTTATTTACTATTTTCTTTAAGTAACTTAGATGTTATTATATGATGAAAGAAAGACTGAAAGTGACCACATATTAAAACAAAATTAAATTTCTAGGCAACAGAGCTTAAAAAGTGTGTACCGTCACTTTCAAATAGTATATGTCATCAAGAGTGCTATAATTAGTTTACTGAAAGTCACAAAAATAGAGTTGGCTTATTAATAAGTGACAAAGTGTAATTTGAAAAATAAAATCTGGTATGACTGGCAATAACAATATTGCAATCGGCCTTTCTTAAAAACAAAACAAAACATAATGAAACCAAAAACTATATCCCTTTCTTCTATCTTCATCTCTACATGAATGATTATAGATGGGAAGTGTGTATGTTTTTAAAAGTATATTTGATATTAGAATATAATTTCATTTGAGAAACATTAAATTTATAACCATTGTTTATACCACAAATAAAGGTTGATTAAAATTTTCTTGGCAAGCAGAGTTACATAAAAAGGAAAACCCATCTTCTGCATATAAATAATTCCTAATGGTTGCAGGATCATTCTTTCCCAGAGCCAATGTGAGAATCTCTTGGAAAACTTCAAGAAACAATGTTTTAAACATCATTGTACTACTACCTGGGCTTGAACTAGTTTAGAAATTTATGAACGCAGCCAAAAGTAACAATTTAATTAATGTAAGTGAAAATAAAAGAGCTATCACATAACTACAAGAAAAGTGACTAAAAAAGAGTTTAATGAATGTAAGGCACATACTAGGAAACTTTTTGTGGTTAGAGATCTCTTGTTTATGCACCTATTCCTTTCATTGTTTGGATTTGAGTAGTTTCACTTACAAGCTTAAAGTGAAATGGTTAGCAAAGCTTCAATAGTGCTACTCAAGACATTAAAAGCATTAACTTACCTTCACAGTTTCCAAGTCTCCAGCTTTAGATGCCTCTAAGAGTCGATAGTCAACATCAGAAGTACGCATAGGTGTACTTTCTGCATAAAAGGAAAGACTAGTGTTGACTTTCAAGGAATCACAGAGTAGTTAAAGAGGGTAAATTATTTGGTGAAAACAAAGAGAGAGATTAAAGGATCAGATTCTGAGACCTATCTTTTTCAAACAAAAGATAAGTGGTTTCTTACTTCAATCTATATCCATCTCATCCTAAGCCAAATTTAAATAAATTCTAAGACACATAAATCCGTCTCCAACCCTGCTACTCTATTCTTCAAACTTTCTGGTCAATACCTGGCATAGGGGAATGAAGACACAAAGCACCACAAGATCACGATCATCTTCATGATAGATTGGTCTTAAAAGTGTTGTAGCAAAGCTTTGCCATGGATTTTGTTATGCAAACCTAGGGAAGCCACTCAACTTTCAGTACTTAATGTTCAGCCTTTCTTTTGGGCCTCAGTTTCCTCAATATGAAACAGAAGTATTACCCCTTAAATCAGTGATCTTAGAAAACATCATCAGTGTATATAAAAAGGCCTACTAAAAAAAAAAGAAATTTAATTCACATTTATTGAATGGCTTTAAGGAAATACAATTCAAAATGTCTATAAAATGGAAGGCATTATGCTAATTGAAATAAGCCAGTCAAAGAAAGATAAATATCACACGATCTCACTCATTTGTGGATTATAATGAACAATATAAACTGATGAACCAAAACAGATCCAGAGACAGAGAAGCATCGATCAGATGCTCAAAACTCAGAGGGAAAGTAGAGGAGAGTGGGGGTAAGTGGTAGAGATCAACGTAAAATGGAAGGCATTATGCTAATTGAAATAAGTCAGTCAAAGAAAGATAAATATCACACGATCTCACTCATTTGTGGATTATAATGAACAATATAAACTGATGAACCAAAACAGATCCAGAGACAGAGAAGCATCGATCAGATGCTCAAAACTCAGAGGGAAAGTAGAGGAGAGTGGGGGTAAGTGGTAGAGATCAACCAAAGGACTTGTATGCATGCATATATGCCTAACCAATGGACACAGACAACAGGGGGGTGAAGGCATGAATGTGAGTGGGGTGGGGGGAGGGGGCAATAAGGGGATAAGGACACATATGTGATACCTTAATCAATAAAGAAAAAAATAGAGTATTAAAAAAAAAGAATTCTTCAGAAAAAAAGAAAAAGAAATCACTGAAGTCCCTGAGCCAGAACCTTGAACCTAAGATGAATTCCTGAACTACAAAAACTGTGAGACCGGAAATGACTACTATTATTTTAAGTGACTCAG